CACGGCAGTAACCTGAGTCAGGCGCGGGCTGGGGGCTTTGGGAAAGACAACTCTTGGGACAAAATTCCTCCCCCTTTGCAGCTGTATGGCCAGAAAACAAGCTGTCTGCTCCCAAAGTACAATGGTGGGGCACGCGGATGGTAACGTGTGCACAACCTGGCTCAGGAAGGGAGAACTGGGAAGAGAAAGAAGTCACTGATACCACAGGATTTTGAAATCAGGTCAAGTAAGGCCTGGGGACAACCCTCTGGGGCTCAAGGCTCTGTCCTCTGGGCCATGGACCATATCACACTAATGCTGCATGTTTAATAAGTGCCTTAATTCAGTCCCCACACAATCCAGAAAGACCAACCTGTTACATCCATTTATAGACAAGGAAACGAAGGCTCAGAGTGGCTAACGGATCGGCCCTAATCGCCACTGACCAGTGCGCTGGGGCAATGCCCCCTGGCACCTGTCTTCCCACACAAACTCCACCTTCCCAGAGCCCCGGCTGCAGCAGGCTCCTGACTGCCATGTGCTTTGGTGTGGCCGTCCCACACAGTGACAAGCTGTCTCCCCTGCCCAGGTCCGGGAGGTGACAAGGAGAGTCATTCAAGCTCCCAACGAAGCGGTCACGGACGATGGACAATATTCTGACCTCCTGATGGTGTGGGGGCAATATATCGGTCACGACATCGCGTTCACACCCCAGAGTACCAGCAGAGCCGCGCTGGGCGGAGCAGCTGACTGTCAGCTGACGTGTGAGAAGCAAAGCCCTTGTTTTCCCATACAGGTAGAATTTCTAAACTTTTACTTTTTACTATGAAACTAGTAGATGCCATTTTACAAAGTCAGAAAAGCATAAAATGAAATATCGAGGCCCCCACTTGTCCTGTTTGGGGAGGGTGGGATCTGCCCTGTAGAAGCTGTGCACGTCATGTGCCTGCACAGACCTGTGCCCTCTCTCGCCTGTGGGGCCCCACGGCGTTTACGGCTCTCTGCCTTGTACTGGGCCACTTAGTGATTCCAATCACCCTCCCTATCATTAAATGGACAGAAATCCCATCGTTTGTGCGCACTGGAACCTGTCTAACCAGTTTGCTCCATAACGAGCCCTTAAGCTTTCAAATGAAAGTTTTCAGCTTGTTTTCTGCTCCCACAAAGAATGAAGCCAACACAGTTGGACCTAAATCTTTGTGCACTTGTGTAAACCTAAGGGAGTGAGGCCTAGAGAGACTGCCAGGCCTGGAGTAGGTGCAGGTGGGGTTCTGATGGATGTTGTGAAATTGGTCCCCACTCCTGCCGTGGTTTGACTCTTAGCCAGGAGAGCAGGGACAGTAAAGCAGGCTGTTGTAATTACTTCTCTTTAGAAAACATCTTTAAAGCCAGCCAGGGACGCTTTCTACCTAAGTGCAGACATGGTCTGGGGCTGCATCCTCAGGGCAGGTCAGCAAACCCTCCCTGAACCCGTTCCAGGCGCTGCTGTGCGCCAGGGAGGCCCTCCCCGCAGAAAAGCCCCAGCAAAACACACCAAAGCGAAAACTGGGGGCAAAGGGTACGATGCGCACCGCAGCGAAGGAAATCCCAGCCGGCGTCCCTGACCCGAGGGCGCAGGGCGGGCCCGCAGCCCCGGCACCCACCACGGGGGGAGCCCAGGGGCCCCGGGTGACCCGGTCTCCCCTCTCCCGGCAGCTCCCCGCCAACGCCTCGCGGACGCCGGCCTGTTTGCCCTTTTCCCGCTCGTCCGCCGCCTGCGGCACGGGCGCCCAAGGAGCCTTCTTTGGCAACCTGTCCAGGGCAAACCCGCGGCAGCAGGTGAACGGATTTACCTCCTTCCTGGACGCGTCCACCGTGTACGGCAGCTCCCCGGCCGCGGAGCGGCAGCTGCGGAACTGGACCAGCGCCGAGGGGCTGCTCCGCGTCAACGCGCGCCACCGCGACGCCGGCCGCGCGCACCTGCCCTTCGCGCCCCCGCCCGCGGCCTGCGCGCCCGAGCCCGGCGCCCGCGCGCCCCGCGCGCCCTGCTTCCTGGCCGGGGACGGCCGCGCCAGCGAGGTCCCCGCCCTGACGGCGCTGCACACGCTGTGGCTGCGCGAGCACAACCGCCTGGCCGCCGCGCTCAAGGCCCGCAACGCGCACTGGAGCGCCGACACCGCCTACCAGGAGGCGCGCAAGGTGGTGGGCGCCCTGCACCAGGTGCGCACGGGGTCGGCCTGGGCGTCTGGCTCAGGTGCGGGCCGGGCCAATCGGGGCGCCTGGCTCAGGTGCGGGCCGGGTCATCCCGAGCGCCCTCCACGGAGGATAACCCGGTTGCTGCCCGAGGACTGGCCGCCGCGTCAGTGGCTGTTCCCCTGCAGTGCTGGCTGTGGCTAAGCCACCAGGAGGCCCGGGCAGCCACAGCTGCCCAACAAGAGTAAGGGGCCAGCTCGTGAGTCCAAGCGCTTTAGGGGTGTCAGCCCATTCACCCCTCCTATCAACCCTGTGAGATGGGTGTCCACGCATGATTTTCATGTTCTTAATCTTGGAGACAATGGAGAAAATGAAAAGAAAAATAATCTTGTGAGATTTGCAAATTGGCAAACTTAACTATGAGGATGCCTGTTAATCTTGGCTCAGGGATTATGACGGAGTCACGCTGGCTGGTTAACTGTGGGCACGGCTGGGACACCCATCCAGCTGGCTGCTCGCCTCACTGTCGGCTGAGCTGTTATGAAGAATGAGCTCAGTATGAATTCACGGTCACCACCTGTGTCTACACTCGGCCCCGGAGGGGGCTCCTCAGGGCGCCTCTTTATTCTCTCCATGACCCTATTGATCCTGTTTGGCTTGTCCAAGTTGTCACAGTGAACCCACGGCAGGCCGGGCTCATCCAGACACAGCCTGCTTTTTCCCACCTTCTGAGCACCCAGTGGTCAGACCAGAGGCCCCGGTCCCTACTCAGTGGGGTCCTGGAACCCCTGCTGTACCACTCCCACCTCATAGGTGCTGAGTGGTGAGGACTTGGGTCACTGGAGGGTACAAGGTTCACCAAAGAGGTGATATTGAGAAGAGGAAGATTCCCACCCGGGGGTGCATTGGGCTGAGTTCACAGGCCTTGGCTGCCCCGGCGCCTGCCGGCTGTGGCCCTGCTCGGATAGGAAGCCAGGCACCAGCTTGCTCTGTGTGAGCAGCTGCCGTTGTGCCATGTCCTACTGCAGCCACAGGCACCTGAGGTTCCCAGGGCCTCCTGTGTGCTGCTGCCCTCTGGGGTCACAAGTCAAACTTCAGGGAAGGAAGAAAGAGAGAAAGTCCTCACAGCTGTTTACACTTGAATTTAAAGTTGTTGCTGCCCCTGTTCTGAGGGGGTGGCACTCCCCTCACCACATCCAGGCATGTCTGTGGCCCCAGGGCTTTTGCTGGTGTAGACTGGGTCTGAGGTGAGGGGCGGGTCCTGCACAATGGAGTCATACCCACCCACAGTGCCCATCCAGGAACCAGTGTGGGGACAGACACATCGTTTAGAAACACAACTGTGGTTTATTGACCAAGCAATTTGACACTGGTTTTCACACCTGAAAGAAATACTGTTAAACCCAAAAGCGGAGCCCTTGTGCGTCATTCTCCTGGGACCATGTGATAAAGAGAAAGTACAGGCCTGGGCCTGCACCGTTATTCCCCATGGTTCTCCCCCTGCTGGAGGGGAGGCCACAGCAGCTCAGCCCCTCCTGGATTCGATCCTCACTGAACCCCAGGAATCAGGAAGCACAGCCAGTGTTTGGAGGGCAGGAAGGGGCCTTCATGCAGGTTGCCCAGGGGCTGGCTCTGTGCTGGCCACAGCCCGGTGCCATGTCAGTGCCCACTGACCTTGTGTTCCCTGCGAGGGGCTAGCTGAGCCGTCACCATCCTGAGAATGGAGCTCTAGTTAGCCCTGTGCCAAAAGCCTGAATGTCCATTAAAAAGCCCTTTCTGAGAAGTTGAGTTTGAGGCTGCCCGACCCTGTATAACACAAGTGCCGTGAGGACTTTGGAACTGTTGGTGTTCTTGCACCTGCTTACCTGTTCCCTTTCCTGGATGGCGTGCCCCTCCTGGGACACTGAGCCCCCGGAACATGCAAGAAGCCCTCCAGCTTCGGGGACCTGGGCCTACTCAGAAGTGGGCGTGTCTTCCTGTCTCCACAGATTATTACCATGAGGGACTACGTGCCCAAAATCCTGGGCCCCGAGGCCTTCCAGCAGCACGTGGGCCCCTACACAGGCTATGACCCCTCCGTGGACCCCACCGCGTCCAACGTGTTCTCCACGGCCGCGTTCCGCTTTGGCCATGCCACGGTGCACCCGCTGGTGTGGAGGCTGGACGCCCGCTTCCAGGAGCACCCCGTGCTCCCCCCGCTGCGGCTGAAGGATGCCTTCTTCAGCCCCTGGAGGCTGCTCAAGGAAGGTGTGCCCCAAGCCTGCTTCCTGGCTGCTGGAACTCCTCCACCCAGGGTGGTGCGGGCACCCTGGCCCCAGGTGCCATCCGGCTGTCAGTGTTCAGGGAGGAAACAAGTGTCTTCACAGCTTTTTAAAAGGCTAAGCTGTTGTCAAAAGCACTTTCCCTCAGGTTTCTGAAGCTCTTCAGAATTCAGAGCATAACCTATTCCAGGGAGGGATACCTCGCCAGCACTGTTCCAAAAGTACCCCAGCAGCGTTCCCGCGTGTGCCTGTGCACTTAAGTCAGGCCGTTCCCATCGCCCTCCACCTCTCCTTCCTGGCCATTCAGTGCCCCACAGCTGCAGGAGGGAACCATCGGGAGACCTCTGGACATGGGTCCTGAGAGGCACAAGGGCCTTTCCCAGACCGGTGGGAGTACCAGGTACCTCCACACTCCCTCGTGCTGCCTGCCCCTCCCTGCCCACGCTCCGCATCCTCCCGTGGATGTAGTGTGGGGAGCGAGGTAGTGAGGAGTCACTACACACGCCCTTGGCCCCGCGTGCACGCACACCGAGTTTGTGGGAGAGATGCCAGGTGGCCAGTGATGACCAAGCTGCCCTGCAGAGGCTGAGCACATCGCCCTTCCTTGGCTTGTACTGTCGGGGCACGGTGAGGCTGGGCAGATCCCACAGAGACCCTCACTCCAGATGACTGGGGAGGGGGCCTGAGAGGCAGCCCAGCCCGCCTTTCTAAGGTGCCCTGCAGGGTGGACGGTGCAGGATGACTGGAGGTGAGGGGGCAGGTCCCCAGTGCCCTGGCTGCACCAGAGGAAGCCCCCTTTCACTGCCCTACAGACTTTGCTCAGCAGGGCTGCTCTGAGTGCAATGCTTCTGCCCCGAGAGCGAGGCAGAGCTTCAGGGCTGAAGGCTGCATGTCTGAGTCCCCTTGGACCTAGAGGCCTGTCCAATGCACCCCATGCCTCAGCCCCCCTGGGGAGCAGACAGGTGCTAATCCCACATGAGGCAGTACCCTAACTGTGCTCAGAAATCTTTGGAATCATAAAAGGTGAATTTATGAACCTGCAGAAAGAATTTGTTGTGAATAAGCATAGTTTACAATCTGAGGTGCCATTCCGCCTCTCCAGAACTCATCAGAAAACCACATGGCCTTTCCTGTGATATTTTCCAGGGGGTGTGGACCCCCTCATAAGGGGCCTTCTGGCGAGACCTGCCAAGCTGCAGGTGCAGGACCAGCTGATGAGCGAGGAGCTGACGGAGAGTCTGTTCGTGCTGTCCGGCGAGGAGGCCCTGGACCTGGCATCGCTCAACCTGCAGAGGGGCCGGGACCACGGCCTGCCAGGTCTGCCACCCTGCAGGCTCCTTCCCAATGCTTGCGTCCACGTGCCCAGCAGCCTGGCTGTGAGAGGCTGATTTGAAGGAAAATGTATCTGAAAATATATTGCCAACTTCTAAGAAAGGGCTTGTTGTGCCCTGTGGTCCACCCCACCGAGGGGGCATCTGGCTGCCCTCAGACTGCAGGACCGCCCCTCAGGCCGTAGGAATGTGCAGAGGTCCATGCCTCCAGGCAGGATGGGCTGAGCTGTCAGGAAGAGCCTGCCCGGGAGGAGCGTGTGTCCCGTGGACCTCTGACTTCCCGGTGGGGTGGGGGGCCTGCAGGGGCAGCCTCCAGGGCGCAGGACACCAGGGCCCTCCTGCCTCTCCTCTCACACCGCCCTGCTCCCTCGGGGCTGTCACTCTCCAGCTGGCCCAGTCTCTGGGCACTGGGTGCGCGGGCTCCCCATCCCCACCTTGCTCATACGTCCTCTGGCCCCGTCCCCTCAGCTGTCCTGATCCACGTCATCTCTCCCCGAGGCCCCCCGTGGCCTTCCCTTCATGACTCCTGCCGCTCAGCTGCTGGCCAACCTGCAGCGTCTGCCAGAGCCTGTTCCTGCCCCACTTCCGGGTGCAGGTCAGCTCTCCCCTTGCCCTGTGGCAAGGGCATGGCCTCCCCTGGGTCCCCCTGCTAACATGGCCGACAGTTCTGGTGACTGCAGGCCCACAGGGGCAGGTTCCCGGGTGCCCAGTGCTCCCTAACTGCCCTAAGAGCCTCTCCACCTATGGCTCTCCATGTCCCCCCACAATCCAGGAGGCTGGTTTACGATCATGTGAAAACTGTCGAGGAGACTGAGCACAGGGTCGGGCAACAGCTCCTCAATCACTTGCAGCAAGGAAGGCGCGGAGACACCGTCCTGCAGATGAGACTAGATTCTCACCTGTCCCTTCCGAGCTCCCCCTGTGCTCATGGGGGTCACGCTGTTACAGTGGAAGTGGGAGGTGCTGTCTCAGCTGCTCTGTAGACAGGGATGAACATGGGCTTGGAAAGCGCAGGAAGCCACTCCGGCATCTCGGATCCCAGTTTGTTTATAGGCGAACTTCCACGAGCACCCAGCAGTGGTGCAGGAATATTCCAACACACCAAGT